ATTTTTCTAAGAAACAGTGCAAGTTCAGCTGATACTGTGCCAACAGCTGCAGCGGGGATGCTCCTTCCCTGCTTGGAGTCTCTTCCCTACAACCTTCGGATACAAAGGTAACCACACCCTGGCACCACCTAGGTTTGTGCAGCACAGAAACCAGCAGCTCTGCCAGGAGCCCACCAGGGAGATCTGGGAGAGGGGTAAAATGCACTGTGCCTGAAGGCCATCGGATTTGGGAGCAACGGGATCAAGCCCCTAGAACACAGGAAATGCTCTTGGAGCACCTCGCCCAGGTGATAGTTGGGATCTTTGGAACACAGGGCTAAGAGGAAGGGGTGCCACTAATTCCTCCTCTCCAGCAACACTGGCTGCAGGGCAGGTTTCCAGCTGCTCTGAAATACCCTCCTGCCTCCCAACAAGTTGTTTTTTTCCCCCTTTTAAAGTCAGGAAAACCAAAATGCAAGAAACCAGCTGCCCTTCCCACTCCAAGAAGTAGGTCTGGAGAGCTCCACCTCAGCCCCCTTGATCCAAACCCTCCCCGAGCTGAGGATTTTTTTAAAGGAATCTGGACCTATTGATAGAGATGTGCTAAGGCAGGAGGGAGCAACGGCAGAGCCTCACCTCGGGGACGTAGTTGTCCCTTCTCTCCCTCTCCTCCTCCTGCAGTTTGATGGAGATGCCGCGGACGGGTCCCCTCTGGATTCGCTTCATCAGGTGGGTGACATACCTGTGGGGACACGGGGGTGTCCAGGGCTTCCCCGGGGCTCCCGCCACCCTTCTTCACACCCCCAACCGCGGCGGGATGAGGAGATGGAGCTGTCACCGCCCACCCCGGCGATGTACCGCCATCTCCGGGGGACATCAGAGACGAACTGTCCGACAGCAACAGGGTTTGGGGGGGGACAGGGACCCCCCCAAACACGGGAAAGCTCTCGCGCTCCTCTCCCTGCACTATCGATGACCCGGCCACGGGCGGGACCGTGATCACTTTCGAATGCAGGGCCTGGCCCTAACCTCCCCCCGGGACACCCCTTAGTGCCCAAACCCCACCCGGAACCTTCCCGTGCCCGAACCCCCCGGGACACCTTCAGGGCCCAAACCCCACCCAGAACGCCCCCGTTCCTCACCCCGCGATCTTGTTACGCAGCTTCTTGCTGGGGATGATGGCGATCTCCTCGCACACGCGCTTGTTGGTGTGGAAGTCGTTCCCCAGGCGCGTGTAGTACTTCTCGATGATCACCCGCGCCGCCTTCTTCACCGTCTTCGTCCGGACGCGTCCCTGCGCGGGGCCAGCATCAGTAAGGCCCCGCCGAGACCGAGCCCAGCGCCTCCCCACCCAGCGCCCCCTCCCCCGGCCATCCCACCGCCCGCTGCCCCCCACAGCCCCTCGCCCCGCTCCCCCCGGTCCCCGCGCGGTCCCCGCCGCCGCTCCCACCGCAGCCCGGCAGGCGGATGGCGACGGATGGCGGGGCCCGGACTCACCATGTCGGCGGCAGCCGCGCAAAGAGACCGGAGGAGGCGGAAGGCGGCGGAAGCGCACAGCGCCCCCTGGCGGCTCGGAGGGTGTCCACAGGGGCGCCGTGGGCGTGGTTACGGGGCGTGGCTATGGCTGGGTGGGCGCGGCTCAGGCCCGGGGACTCCGCAGGGTCCCAGCGCCGCCCGACCCGCTCGGCCCCGGGGCCGCACCCGGACCGCCCAGCACCGCTCCGTGTCCCCAGAGCGGGATGGACCCACCCAGGAGGCCGTTCTGGGGCACCAAAACATCCCAGGATAGGCTGTGATGAAAGACATAGAGCACGCACAAACTCGCATCACACAGCCCCAAAGGAGGGGTGACCACACGCGGGTGGCTGCAGAGTTAGAAGGGGGCACAAAAAAGGAGCCCAATACCTTAACCCCCCCCCCAAACCCTCCAAGGACATGGGGCACACGAGGGTGCCCCCTGTGGGCATCCCTCACTGCACCTAAAGTCCCACTCAGCCCTCCCCACCCCTGCAGAAAGGACCCCTGGGGTCCCTCTCTCACCTCATAGGCCTGCAGGGTGTCACCTCTGCACCACCAAGGCTGGGAACGCACAATCTCTTCTGATTAACCTCATTAACTTGCTGCTGCAATTAGAGGAGCTCCAGCTAGAGCTCAGGGGTCCCACGAACACCTCTGGTAAGTGGGATCTAAAAACGCACCTCCCAGCAGAGAGAGCTCCCTCCCACCAAGTCACCCACAGTATCCATAACTCCATCCATACCCCTCCCCCTACCTCTGGAAGAGACAACACAGCCCTCCCAAATTTAAAGACACCTACCCCCCCGCAGTAGAGAGCACAAGAAAGGGCTTTTTTTTTTTTTGCTGCAACGTGTTTATTATGTGCCAAAAACTACACCACAGCTTACTCCACGCGTCTGTAGGAGAGTGCAGTCTTGCCTGCATATACTACAATGAGGTAGAGACTTCACAAACAGCTTCACAAAACCCCACAAAGAGCAGCTGGGATATGCAACAATGCAACATCAGCTCAGCAGGAAAGAAAAAAAATCATCATAATAAAGAGGGAGAAATTATGACACTGGTTCTTTGGCACACAGCTTCCAATAGAGGGGGAAGTAACAAAAAAAATAATAATCGGCATAATTAAAGGTCTCAAATCCCAGCAGCAGCATTTCAGTCGACTGCACTGTTACTCCAAACATCTCGGGAAGGAATGGAAAATTACTTGTCCCCTCTAAGAGAAAGGGCTCCCAGGAACCTTAATCATCCACCGAAACGCAGCCCTTTTTTAGCTTGTTACAAAAAGAAAAGGTTTAAGTCCTGTGACTTTGTGTGATTAAAAACCTCTATCAACCCCCCGTAAGTGCAACTTAAAAAAGTGCAACAAACTATTTTAAAACTATATACAGCAGCTCAGAGATCATCATCCCATCCAGTTTCAAATCCAAAAACAAAAACAAAGCCCGGCCTGTCCCGTTGCAAACCTCTTGATTTACAACGTCCCGCCAGCAGCCCCCAGACACAAATTGCAATAATGTTAAAAGCTGCCAGGAAAGAAAAAAATCTCTCGTTTCAAACGACTTAAAAACTGTTTTTAAGAGTGTAAAAAGGAACTCGTAAAAACCCTCGAGCGTAAAATATGAAATATGATTTGGTTTAAATGAAGAGCAAAGTCTCCTTTGTTGTTACAGTAAAAAACGCCAGCTGAACACCCAGGTCACGCCGTCCAGGTGGGGGTAAATGAATGGAAAGGCACTGTATGGCAACGGCAAAACAATGACCAATGAGACCTGCGCTCTCTCCACCAGTATTGCAAGGAATGTAAAAAAGCGCCTTTAAAAAATAAAAAAACTGAGGCGGAGGCGCCTGCGGCGAC